AAGTCTGGCACACCAGATTTGAGTCTAGAAGTAATTTTCTTTTGTTCACAGTGGAGTTATTAAGCTCTTGCAATACGGGTTTACAGCTGAAGTGCTGACAGACTTAATTTCAAGAGCAATGTGATTAGGGCAACGTGCGAGGTAGTGCTGTACCAGTGCTTACCTTTATTAGCTGTGACAGTGGCGTAAGTCCAGCTGACTGAGGGAAAAACAAAACTAAGGCAAACAAACAAACCTCCTCTAGCAGCAGGCAACTTTGGCTTTTGGAGGTGCACATTAGGGGACGCCTGATGCCAAGCAAATTCCAGACTGGGGGAGATTCGCGTGTGCTTTTGCTAATATTTATTTTATGACACATTATAACTACTGTGTGTTACGGTTGCTATGAACCCTTGGGAAATAAAACTGGGAACTGTGTTGTGGTGCAGCCAAGAGTCCACAACTTTATTAAACATGAAAGTCGATGTACGAGGAGCCGGCAGGAGCCACTGGTCCTGGCTGAAGGCAGGCAGTGGGGCAGCCAGGCACTCTCCATGGCACCTCCATGTCCTCCTTGCAGGGATGGACAGCGCTGCTCCCACGGGTCCCGCTTTGCACCTGCTCATGTCCACTGAAAACAGCCAAAATGTCACCGTGCCAATATTAGCTGTGCTCAGGGAGCTGCACCCCTATCAGCTGGGGAGCTGAGATTATTCACAGATATTGCTCTGAGGAAAGCTGCAGAGGGAAAGGAAAATTAAAGAAAAACAACATTCTCTATAAAAATTCTCTGGCAGCATTAATCAGCTGCATGTTTGGTTCTTGGTTATTTGCCTGACTCTTGCTCCAGGTTGTGTTTCTGCTTTGGTTTCACGAGGCTGCCAGTGCTGCTGATGCTTGGGTGTGCTCACAAACACTGGTGCTGATAAAGTGAGTGCAAACATAAAACCTTGTCTTCAAAACATCCTTCATTTTTTTATGAGAAGGTAAAGCCCAAATCTAATGAGTTTGTACAGTCTGAATACCAATCTCATTAAAATGCTCTTTTCCATTTCTTTTGGATCAAACACTGCTATAGTCCTTCCCTAAATATTAATCATTTGTCTGCTGGGACCATGTTCATTTTCCATTTTGTTCTTCTACCAGCATTTTTAGGGGCTGAATAATTGCTCTCTGGAAACAATTATAAACCCAGTTAACTCTTCCCTTTCCCATCTTCTCTTCCAAGTGCATTACTTTGTCCTGGTTTTGAAGGACATATGGATCTGGTTCCTTATTCCTTCATTGTCTGGGGACTGAGGGCTTATATGTAAAAAAAAAAAAGATGAAGGTAAATTGATACCTTTTTCAAATTTTTGAAGTCTGTCCTATACTCACATAGAAAGTTTGGCTTTCTATGTGAGTATAGGACAGTAGATTGAGAAATGTGAAGCCAAAATAAATAATGTGCAAGGACTGAGTGACTGGTTGGACTGGTGGGCTTGTGCTGATACTTATTTCTAGACAGGCACTTGAAGAGTATGTCCCAAAATTCTATTTTGAATAAAATGCATGGCCAGAAGCAGAAGATGTAACCTCTGTCCTCCTGTCTTTAATTTTCAGCTCTAATATAGACATATTTTCACACAGTTACAGAACAGCAATGGGAAGTATGATTTGATGCAAGAGGTCTTTGCCTGAGTGATACCGAGAGTATCTTGCTAAGAGATAGAGGGTTATTCCTTTCCCTTCACTGTGGCAAAGGCACGTGGTATTTGTAAAAGTGTGGAGTTAAGTGCCCAACGAAGTGTGTAGCAAAAAGCAGTCTGAAGTTTCTGGCACTTCAGGGGTCAGATCTTAGAAGCCAAAACTCAGATCCAATAAAGGGAATTAGGAATTTCAATACTAATGAGTTATTGGGGACACAACAGTCAGCTCCGGGGGTCCCGCTATCCTAGGGCATCAAAGGATGTTATAAAGCTACTGCTTTAGTTGGTTGTCCCATTAGGAGAAGGATATCTTTGCACTGACAGTACACTCTTTTGATATTTTGATTAAAATTTATGAAGTTCTGTAATCATCTGTTCTTGCCATTCATTGCCATTATGATCCCTAAATGCGCTCTTCTGTGATTTTCCCCTTCTCAAAGCTTTTTATGGCATTCAGATCGTCTCTGTCTGACAAAGTGGGAGGACAGAACATTTGTGAAGGCACTCTAGCTCCTAATTGGAGTGATAGTAGCACAAAGGACTCTGGAAACAATATGTTGTGCTTCGGAACGAGGCCAAGAGCGGCTGCCATGCCCTTCACCACAGTGTCAGCGGAGTCGTGAATAGCTCAACGGTTGTGATCAGTAAACAACCTGGCTCATCAAGGCTCTTCCCACACGGTGACAGTTGAGCTTTTCTTACTGTGGGAATTTTTCCAATTACTGTCCTGACAGAATCATTCAGCACCACACTGGTTTTTGCTTTCTTTCTGGAGGTGGAATGAGTTCTTGGTGATCAAATGCAATCTTTATTGCCATTTCAGACTGTAGGTATTGCAGGTCAGGCAGTACTTGGGACACTGAGGCTGTGCCTCCTCTGAGCTCTGTGCAGGTATCATGCAGGACCCAAAACTTGCCAGCAACTTCAGTTCTTCTTTGAAAGAAGCAGTTGTTAAAGTCTTTCTAACCAACTTTTCTTGACTCCTTGAAAACTCTCAGCTTTAAGAAAGACTTTTGAGAAGATTGTAGCAAAATAATTGGATAGCTTTTGACTCTGTCTGGTTTCTTTCTGACACTGACAGTTTAACCTGGCAGCTAGAGAGTAGGTGAACTTGAGTGGTGACACCGAGCTGCTCTTGTGTGCTGAACTCTTCTTTGGTCAATATGGCATTTTTGGCCAGCAAGGCCGAAGTCTCTTCTGAGCTAAATGTCAGACTGGACATTCCACCCTCAGCTATCACCACAGTGAACATGATCAGCTTATGGCAGCGAAACATGATGTTGAATATGTAGACACAGGCAGAAGGGGTGGTTGATGGACTTGTCAGTGAGGGTAGACCCAGGAGAGGTTGGCCAGTTTTGCAGCCTAACTGAGGACTTTTACCTGGTCTCTTTCCTTGCTTAGGTGGGACTATCTAGGGGACACTGAAGAGATTTTGGTCTTTTACAGTATCCAGTTGTTCTTGTTACTTGTGCATGGCAAGTGTGCTACATCCTTTTCCTTTGCTATAGAACCTGTCATTTATCAGACCTTGCCTTGATTGCTCATATATTGTTCCCCTAAAACCAGACTTTTTATGACAATCACTCTTTTATCTATCCAGAGTTTGTGAAGAGCGTGTGATGTGCTGGCCTAGCTGATAACATTTCATGCAGAAAGTGCTGCACTGGCTGTTGGTGGTGCAATTTGAAAAGCTGAAGGATGGCGGTGTGTGGTCCAGTCTTTAGCTACACAAGAGATCTGATCTTTTGTCTGGTAGCTGAGGAAACCTGAAGTATTTGGTCAAACTGCTTTAATGAGGTACAATTGGGTAAGAGGACACTCTTTACCAGGAAATGTTGGCATAGGAGTTAAATTTCTCCTAGACATTAAAGCTTCTGCCTTCGATTATCTGGAGTCTCCCAATCTACCAGTGTGATAGGGATGGTCTGCCACACAGCTTGAAGATCTGGGGGACAGAAGGACGGACAGCTTATCTTTGCAGAAGACAGTGCTGTGAAACCTTTGAGGAGGAATAGGTAGAGTTACAGATATCGGCGGGGGTAGTCCCGAGGCTGTCCTGTTAAAGAAGAAACATTTCCAAGATCAACTGTCTCACTTCAGGCTTCAAACTGGAGTTAACTATTTAATAGACTTTGTAAAGACTTCTATGTTTACGTATTGGACTTACAGAAAATTTTCTCCAGTGTTATGTCTCCACAGCTGCTGAGGCAGTGCTTGTTCCCTTTTACTTTGCTCTGCATCATTTCACTCCATCAATTCCTGTTGTTATTTTCTCTTAGTCTTCATAAACAGTTATTTCAGTGGCTTTCACTTTGGTCCCACATTTCTATCACTTTCCACCATTTTTACTGGAAAAATCAACTGTCCTCTCTTGCAGCTCTCCAAATTCAGTGTATCTTGTCTGGCATAGCCTGAATGTTCTCATATGTGGCAAAGAAGGACAAACAGTACCAGTTCTCGTATTTGAAGAAGGATCCTTTCATACCCCATCAATTTAATGTCAAAGAAAAATTAAAACTTGATGTTGTTGTTTACAATTTTTTTTCAAACCCCTTTAGATTTCTTGTTTACATAAATTGTCTGTGAAACAAAACAATGGGTAATGTTGATGCTGTGTATTATGAAATAGGTCTTCATGGATCATGTTTTGGGAGTATTTCATTGTCTGTATCCATTCAGACTTTGACTTCTCCGCAAGACTTGGAAGATCCCAAATGTTGGTTGTGCACACATAATAACTTATTCATAACTTCTTTATATGCCACTCTTCTTCCTCATAATTATAGTAATAAAACTCATTATAGAAATCAAAGCCAGGTAATACAATATATCTGATGGACAGCTGTCTCTGGATGCATGAATTATAATTACATGAAGCAAGATGGTCTTATTATGTCAGGGTATCTTTGCTCTGAATAAATTTCTATTACTGGTGTGTAATCTTTTGACTCAGGCCAGATGATAGGAACTTGCCCAAATAAGTCCCTTACAGTATTACTATTGAGCTACACTTTCACCTGTAGAATTATGATCAGATAAGTGATGTTGGACGTTGTGACTTTGAGTATCAGTGGTTTGAGCGAGGTTGAGGGCTAGGGGGAACAAGAAGCATTTCTCACCTGTGCTGGTCTTACCTCTCCAGTCTGCTTTCAGGCTATAACTTAATGCCATACACTGATTTAGATGTAGCACTTGTCAGACAAGAATAAGACTATAAGACAGAGACATACGAGGACTTGACCCACACTTTATTGTGAATATGTGATTGAACTCTGAGCTGACAGATAGAGACAGCCATTAGTGTGGGAAAGTGAAATTGTTCTGCCATGTAAGATTTCAAAATATCCTAAACTCAGCTCTGTAATTTAAGCTTAGAACTCTCTTAGCGAATTTCTCAATCTTCTCTTATTTTTCTCCCTTTTCTTCTGTACTTTGCTAATAAAAATGGCAGCATCTATTTTTGAGATATCCCTTGGGACACTCCTTATTTCAAGGGATTTTTCTCCTTACATCTCCAGTATTCATATTAACCAGAACAAACTGATACTTAATGCTGAAGCCACAAACCTTTAGTGGGTCCCTTTGCTCTAAATTTAACACAAGTTAAGGTATTTGCATGACAGCGATGCAATACTGAGTATCTACTTACGTTGAACTGCAGAGGCAAGGACTAGAAAATTGCAAATTATCCAGCCATACTGGCATTTCTTTCCCTGAAAGTGTTTTGACCCTTCTCCAAGAAGCTGAGTTAACACTGATCAGTGCTGACATGAGAGACCTGGAAAAAGAGTTTGTGTCCTCAAGAAATGTAGGGAACACTTACAAATAGGAAACTTTCTCTGAAGAAAAAGAGTTTCCTTATTGCTATGCCTGACCTATCAGGGAAGGTGTAGCATGTCATGTCAGACAGTCTGTTCTTCTTCTGATCTGCTGGAGATGATAAAGTAATGGGGGATCAAGAAAGAACAAGAGTAAATGAGCATGTGACATCTCTCCCACTTTTCACCCAGGCAGAATCAAGAATATTCAAAGGACTCGTGAAATATCCAGAAAGTAAAACAAAATAGGAGAAGGAAAAGCCTGTTTCTTGACTTTGAGGGCACATTAAAATAAAAAGAAGACAACAATTCTCCAATCCTTACTATTAAAAGACGAATAAATCAGATTTGTATTTAGTGATAATAAAGGCATCATATGCACAGTGAGAAACCTGTCCCTGTATTTATTATATGTAAGATTTGATTTAAACTATTTCTGCTTCACAAATGTACTTTATATCAACAAGAGCAGTATTTACACTGAGTTTTTAATTAAAGAAATGTAGTCATCTTTTATGTTTGCAGTTTGCCTGCAAGCAGATTTTTCCCCCCCTTCAATTCATTCTGTCAAAACGGTTAGACAAATTGTGGAAACATGTTTGAATTATGGATTATTTGTCAGTTGTCCATAGCAAGATACTGGCTGTAGCTAAAAGTTAGGGAGATACCTAAACTTGTCTTCTGAGCTCCTTCTCAGGAAAGAAATTGTCTCAAAAAGGTGCTTCAACCTATGAGGATGAGGAAAATGTAGTTGCACCTCTCTCTCTGTTCTCTGTGAAAAAACTCTTGCAGACCTGGAGCTCAACATTTTGATTGTTAAAGATATCTGAGATATTTTGTGACTGTTTATGTTAATTAGGATACAAGTTTTTGCCCTCAACAAACTGATGCAGTATTCATGAACTGTTGTTGCTTCTGTCCCAGCCAAATTTCAGCTCTTGACTATATTGTTTTCAGTGTTAGTACAAAATCATGTGAGTTTTGTATGGAAACTCCTAGGAATTGTGGGTTGTGGAAAGGAAAGATATCAATAAAACAACCTCTGGCCTGTTTTCTAGTTCGGTGCTTGGTTTGTGAATAGTCTTGTGGAATTCAGCGATTCAGAGGAAATCTGTTGTCATTGAAGGACAGCAGCGTGATACACTGATGCAGTGGACAACGTGGTTCTTGTGATGAGAAATTACAAAATGGAAAATTAAAATTAAGGGAAAACCTCATGAAGCTGCCTGATGCTGGAAATCTTAATTGATACTGCTGGAATATTAATTGATACTGCTAAGCATCAATTATTTTTCTTGGAGAAAAAAAAGAGAAAAAAGAATTCAAGTTTTAGTGATTGGTAAAAGATCACTCGAAATTTTGTGAACTGTTTTCTGTGAGGATCAAGATCAAACCTGGAGAGTGCACAAAGCCCAGTAGTCTCCAAGAGCAGAGGGAAATGAAATGGGGACAGTTCCTCTGCCTGAGGTGGCAGCCAGGTGCTCTCCATGTCCTCTGGAACATCCTACTCCTACAGGGCTCTTTCTCTCGTGCCAGGGGTTTCATCCCCAGCACGAAGGGTGAGAGACTGGGCTGACAGCCCTGGTACTTTAGGACATCTTTGCCAACATCCTCATTTGTGCAGAGGATTTATCTTAGCCAAAATGTAAAGCACAGAAAAAGAGGAAGTGTTTTACATGCTTTTAAACACAGGGACTGCTGGTACTGTCACTGCCTGTGTTTGCCTAGAAACAACGCACCCGGCTGAGTAATTTATTTTCAGTGTATAATCTTTGATGGCTGAAGAGCAGAAAAGCTGTTCAATACATTTGGAAATGACTGCAGCTACAAGGTGAGAGAGCAGTATTTAATATCTATTTTGAAACCCATACTGGAGGCACCTGATAAACTGCCAGAAGATGGGGTTTGTAACACACACAAAGCTAAAATTTGAAGGACTAACAAACACTGAAGCCACTCATAGGGGGATATAAAATGCTGCGAAGTCTGGGCTCAATTTATTTTGCCCTTATAAAATGCAGTTGTCTGAGTTGTTTTAATATCGTGGGTCAGTAAGTGGAGACTGAAAATTTCACAAGAGTGTGCAGTTTTGAGTGGATCCTCTTTTGAAAATATTGCAGAATATGGGGCACCTGTGATCTGATTCAGCCCACCATGAGCAGGAGCAGGAAACACCAAAGGAGCAAAGGTAATGGCAAACAAGGAACTAAACTTTTTTAAGCCTCAAAATAGTCTGGTTATGGTCGAAGCCTTGGCCAGTGTTACCAACACTTCTTGTTCTCTTATTCACTATCCCACTTTGGAAACAGGGAGAGAAAGGCTTATAATGATAACATTTAAAAAGGGCATCAATACACATACACACACACAAAAGCTTAATAAATGCCATTTTCACAGTCACCTTTGCATTGATAGGGTGGATATTACATCAAGTATAAGACCAGGAATAAACAAATAACTAGTAGGGTGATATGGGAAAAAGATAGATTAACTCTTAAATCTGGAGCTACAGTATCTGTATGGTCTTAAAGCTTGGTGGTGCTGTCTCACAAGGTCCCTTAGTATAGAAAACAGGACTGTAGAATTAACCCTGTAACAGGCAGCCACTGGGTGGCAAAGAAAAAAACCTTTCTGCAATCAGGTCTGAAAAACTAAAGTGCTCGGACAGTCTGATTTTGGGGACATTTTTCCGCCATAAGAAATCCCCTCCTGGGCTAAGTGGAACGTGATGAAGCTAGTGCCACAGGTGAAGTGCAGGGCTATCCTCTGTTCCTTGGGCCCTGGGGAATAGGGACCCTCATGAGTGGGAGGTCTCTCTTGCTTTCCTCCACCTGCAAAATGGCACTGGATGTATTTTCTTACTAATCCCCAAGTTCTTGTGAGTCTTGTCAGTAAAACGCATCAGAGTCTCCAGCAGAAGGACCTTTGTAGATTTTCAATCTCCATTTATCCCAAGGCTATGCCCCCTTGGGTTCCCTGAGGGTTGAGGGTGGCCCAAAATGATCAGTGCTAAAATGTTATCTCAACAGGTGTTACCAGGAACCATGCAGACACCTCTGGACCAGAACTTGGCGTTTTTTACAGTGACAATCTTGAGCAGCAGAAAGGAAAGGCATAGTGAAGAAGT